TTAATTATTAATAAGCACGATTATTAAAGATATCTTTCTAGATTTTCATTCTTTCGATCTATTAATTAAATATCTTTTTTCAGAACAATGTTCTTAATTCTGCATGATTGCCTATTAAATTTTGCATAAGTTTAAATAAAAGAAGTATGATTTCAATAATTTTAAATTGGCTATTGTAGAAAAATAACCTTACAGTTTCTTTAGAAATTACCTTAGAAAAAGGAAAAGTCTGTCGCGGAGCCATAAGGAAGTAAATACTGTAAATTCTCTTGGAAACTATTTTATGCACCCAAAGGGTTAATACTGCAGCTTCATAAAAAAATACGACCAGTTTGCTTCGTGACCGGGAGCGTCTTACTGCTTTCGAATCCCGCGAACTTCATCTTCCGCGAAGATTACCTCTTTCGTAGTAACCGCGGAAGGAGGTAACCGCAGATAAGTAAGTAGTACGGATGCGTAATGATCCGCTTGATTTAAGCTCGACCCTCTTTAAATACCATTTAAATTGCCGTGCGCGGCGTCGTTTGGGAATCTCTATTAATGCGTCGCGCCGCGCAGCATCTCTCCTCCCCGTTTCACAGGCCATTGCGGATGAAGTGCACGCGGCGCATTCGAGACACGCCGTGGCGTAGTCTGGTATTTCAGTGCCAGGCCATGTAATTTTCCGAGTGTAGAACGCGCGGCGCGGATCCGCGTTCGCGTGAAATTGGAAAAGGGCCTCGTCCCGCCGGAGAGTCTCTCTCTCCCTCCCTCCATTTGGAGAAGCGTAGCGAGACGGCCAGACGATAGAACCCGGGAACCGACCGTTCTGGTAGACCTTGAACGGCCCTTTAACTGGCTGCATTGCAGTCAAGGTTATCAGCCTCGTCTCTCCGTAACGTGGAACGGTGCATCCCGAAGGGAGCGAATGAATAGAAACGCGGATTCGCTACTTCGCCAAGGTCGACCTCGCCCTCGGGCAGCGAGAATTGCACTCCCGGTGCATCGCGCGCGAGTATACACGTTTCTTCTTTCATCCTGTCGCATCTAAAATACCGGATAAACATCGATAAATGACGATACGATGATAAGACGTGAGTGATGTAAACTTGTATGTCAATTAATTAATTTGTTTGAGACAATGTTATGAGATATGAATCGCGATCTTTTGATGATCTCGTCGAAGTAAAACTTTATCGGTTGTGTTATCGCAAATGGTGAAATTAGTACGCGATTGTCGTACGGTTTATCATAAGAATACAGTAGACGAATTGGAGATAAATTCGCGCGTTTAGCAATAAATCGTTGATGGGATATAACAAAATCATAATAAGTGAACTGATAAATTATTAGATGAATATAACCGGGCAAACGAGAATCGATGACTGTGACGAATCCGTTGAAACGGAGATGCGGCGATATTAGCTATGCAAAATTGCGCTCGCTTTCCGTGACTAAATAATAGTCCTCGGAACACAACCCCTGCCGCCTCCGCTCGCTCGCTCGTTGACCATCGGTCGCAGGTAGTAGCATTCCTTATCATTACGTCCCATAAATATTATCCACGGTTCCATCGAGAATGATTCCGCGACGCGGCTGAGAGAAGTGAAGAAGAGGTGGCACGTCCCGACCCAGAAGGAAAGCCACCTCGGGAGGGAGAGAGAGAGAAAGAGAGAGAGGGGCGAGAGAAAGCGAGAGAAAGAGAGGGAGAGAGAGATCAAGAGATGGTGGAGGTGAGAGGCGGCGGGCGTGGACGATCGAAGGAAGAGAGAAAGAAAGAGAGGGAGATTATGCGCTGGAGTGAAACGACTTGGGAAGAAAGAGAGAGACAGGGAAGGGAAGAATGAAACGCCATTTGGAAACGGACCGTGAAAAATCAAGACGGAATTTAAATTTCGCTTGAACATGCATTTCATTGGTTTGTTTTACTACGGCTGCACGTGCATTAATATGCATGCGTCTATTCACGCGTTTATGTCATTCCGTATAGTGCGTTTCGAAAACCGATACCAGGCTATTGTCAAGCTTGACGACCATAACTGTGATTCGAGTATATACAATTGTTGTATTATCAGAAATTAGATATTAAATGTCATTTTGCATCAACGCGATTAAAGGCTGAGCGATATACATGACAAAGACTTGTCTAAAAAGACTGCCTGTTCCTCATTTAATTCTTGGTCCATAATTGGCTGGTATAAAAAAATGATATTTACTTCGTATACGTCTTATAAATCTAAGTTGTCGCGTAATTTTCCAGTTTGCGAATCACATGTTTCTTCGTGGCGTATACAGTATATCGTGCGTGCACCGCGTAATACAAGCACGGTAAGCACATGGTAAGCACACGTTTCGCCGCGATAATTTCGCGAAGAGGAGATATTCGAGAGGGATACGTTCAGAGTGGATCCGTTGGATCATATATTTATCCTATCCATTCTCCCGGACGCGTTACTAATTAGCCATGATTGCGATAAAGTATCGATACATCAAAAGCATACCTATCTACATATACGCGCGCACAGATACGCGAATCCCTTTCAACCCGGGGAAATGTTATCTGCGCGCGTGGATTTCGTATTGTTGCCGCATTGTTGCCCCCGGATAACCGCTACGTTGACTAGCAGGCTCGCGGATAAATCTGATTTGCCATGATGTTCCCTACCTGCGCGTATCACGGCAAACGCGCGGGATATACAGTTCGCGGGAAACGAAAAGGAAGGGTTCGTTCGCGCGCGCCCCAGCTACCTGGGGGCCCGGGAGAGGGCTAAATTACGAGCTTGTCGGCCGCTGTTAGCTCGCCGGCCAGCCGGCCGCCACCCCGAGTTTCTCCGGTATTAAACCGGACGGTACATCCGGTGTGCGTATGTACGCCCACGATCGCGGCATGCTTCCGAGTGGACCGATCGAATGGCGATTCTGCGGTAGACAACGCCCGAGGCTCCTCAACGGGTCCGTTGGACACACGGAGATTGTACACACAGGGGTTGCGTGTTGCGGGGGCTGGTTTAACACCGGGGATGGGTAATGGCGACTCCTATCAGCCCTATACACTCTCCGTCCCGCTCGCCCGGCCCCCTCTCGGCGGTGTCCCTCCCTTTTCGTCCACTACCTCCCCGCTGTCGTATCGTTGAATTTGAATCTCTCATTATCCTCGCGAGACGTCTCGTCGTTCACAGTTAGAACATCATAAAAGTAACTCGCGATATATCCTTTACTTTCACTGCATCTTTATCGAGCCTAACGTAATCCACTTTTTCTGTCGTGATTTTAAATGGAATAATTTCAATTTATCATGTAATGTGTTTATGGCTCAGCGGAAGACGTATTATCATTAAAGGTGAACACAAATTTTAGGAATTGAGAAAACGAGATTCATGTTCGTAATTAAATAATAAAAAGTATGTACGTAGTACATAGACAAAAGTATCGCATGAACTTTTGAAGATGCAAAAACGTTTCTACTCAACATTCGAATATATAATTTAGGAGTGATGATACAGAGGCGCAAAAGAAGAAAGAAGATTGTACTAAGCAAAAGAATGATATTTTGATTTCATATTTTCAATTAATATTTCTGAACAACAGTTGGAAATGGAAATAGAAATGAAAATGCAGTTGCACATTTAATGAGATAAATGATTTAAAAAAAGAGATCTTAAGTGAAATAGCTGGAGTATCACAGAATAATTATATTTAATTTAATCGTGCTAGTCTTTCTTATTTCTTTACTTTAACATCATCCAATGGATTTTTCCTGCGTCTTCAGTAATTTTTCTTTTACGTCTATTCTGTCTTTTTGTGCAATATTTTTCTCTTCTCCTCCATATCTGTCGTTCCTTAACTCTCTTTTCGATGTCGATAGCACCCGATCTCTGGCCACATGGCGTTAAGGCAGGAAGGAGAAGGGTAACGAGGAAGGAACAACGATATCCCGGTAATTTACGTCGATAGTGGCTGAACTGAACGGCCACCAACCACTTTGCATATTGGATACTCGCACGGCTCGCAGTTTAGCGCCGTCTTCGATGAATATCCTGCAGCCGGCCGCTGCAATCGGCCGCCGGAAATAGCCCTCGTTCCGGAATTTCATTATTTCCCCCGGATCGCCCTTGTCGCTGATGCTTGGATATCTCGTCCGGCTCCGGGATGGAATTCAAAAATTCTGCCAATTTCGGGATATTTCTATCTATCTCTGCTTGGTAATTTAATCGGCTTCCGGAAGAATTGTCGTGCACGTGACTTTTCGCTCTCATCATTGATCCCTCGACGAGTCGCGAGTATCGCTTCAAACCGCCTATCGGTAAATGTCGCAATTTTGCATATATATTGCGGTGCGATTTTTTTACGAGCCGATATTATCGCTGCACCTCCCACTTCTTGTTACATCGCATCAATTTATTACATCGTAATCATAGACATTCTATACCTCAACGAAAAGAGTTTAGGTTCCAGTCGTCGCTCGGTAAGTTGCGGATAATGAAAAAGATTATTATATAGTAAGACTTGAGGAGTAAAATTAAACGGTATCAAGGATTAAAAATAGAATAATTTATTTTTACGTCCGTCTGTCTCCGTGTGTCCGCGACGACTTATCTCTTGTTTTCCTGAATCAGTTGCGCAAAGTCCCCACTCTCAAAGACCGAAAGTTCCGTTACCTAATTCTTTCTCGGAATAATTAAATTTCTAAATATTATCGAGGAAAATTATGTTCTGCTCGATTGGTTTGGAAAGAGCTTTCGGTAAATACGATGAAGGTCTCCGCGCTAACTTCTTCGATCCGCTTGTCTTGTGTACGTTTTGTCTGATGTAAATTTATCATGTGTACAAAATACATAAACATTATAGTATAGACCGAGCATGCCATACGCTAGGCATGAGCGGCACGTGCAGGAAAGAGGGAACAACGCCTGATTTTCTCTTTTCTCTCTCTCTCTCTCTCTCTCTCTCTCTCTCTCTCTCTCTCTCTCTCTAACAGATAACAACATCCGTTCGTCTATGACAAAGTAAGAGTATAAGCGTGTAGTACGTGTGTACGTGTCGCGAAGTGATGAAGTGATTTCGAGTATAATTTTGATTACGAATATAATTTGTACGGATTGTGGCGATGCAATCGCCATAAGATAAAAGAAACAATGGTGAACTGATCAAAATTGATATCGCCAGGAAAAAGTAAATCACGACGATAGAAATTTTTCGGTAAAATCTATCGGATATAAAGCCGGCAAAGTGTGATGTTATAAAGGGATCGTAAAGCAATTAGGAAAAGAATTCCAGTGTTGCGGTTTATAGCGGAATTTCCATGAGCGTGCGTAAAAATATATATAACGTCAATCGATGTGAAATCCAATCTCAATTAACCCGGAGATAATAACCGATAACCGATAACGGGTAAAGCTACGATAAAGAGCTTTGTCCGGCCACGGTCAGATAACGAATTTTTCTACCTACCGCGATTGTTAGCGACGGGCAGTCTCTCTGTGGTAGCGACTAAGTGGTGAACCTTTCGTGAATTGTGGAGAACAATGCGGTCTACGTTACATCTAGTGGTGCTTCTGACGATTTCGTATTTCGTCCATGGTAAGTGTAAAAGGAGAGGAGATTACGCGTATATTACCTCGAAAACCGATTTCGCGAATCGCAGAAAGGCACAAGCGTGCACACGCGAGCGTTTTCGATTATTTCTCTTTGTTTTCCGGGGAGATTTAGGGCGTGGGCAATTTTGCACGGTACATTAGTATGTATTATTGAATCAAAATACGCGACATACGCTCTCGCAACGAGAGAGGAAGAGAGAGAGAGAGAGAGAGAGAGAGAGAGAGAGGAGAGAGAGAGGGGATTTGATAGAACATTGATTCGCGCTCGGATAAAATATTAGCGACGGTTAATTAGTTTTTCATTAAGCTCGCCGATAATTATCGCGCGGATCCGTGTACGTCCCGGAAAATAATTTTTACATCCACGACGAATAACGCCAATACCTAATTCACGTATATCGCTATAACTCATGGTTACTATAAATTTTCGCTTTTCTCGATGAATCCATTTTTGTCGTGTAATTTAGATTTTATCTCGCGGCAGCACGATGTAGCGTGCACCGTCGACGATAATGACGATTATAATTTGTGCATTAAGGCTTGCCAACCGATCTTCCTGCTTCTCCTGGCGAGATGATGCCTTTCAGTTTAACTGGTCGCATAGTTAACGGTACAAAGGCCGTTTTGAAGCAGTTCCCTCATCAGGTAATCTTTTCCGGTAATTTTAATTTAACGCATATTTAAGAGGAACGATATTTTTAGGTGTCTTTAATGCGCAGTTGGAGCCAAGCGCACTTTTGCGGTGGAAGCTTGATTAGCACTACTCTAGTTTTAACTGCAGGTCATTGCATGTTTCTGTAAGCCAATGATTTTATAGATATCTTGATTATTATCGACAACTTAAATGGAATTTTCGATCTCATTTACTTTAAAATTGTGTGCTAGCTTCTGTGCCTAATAATTTCTAGAAAACGTTTTGCGACAAATTAATCAGTGGTATCTCAGTGATATATTTTAATCTACATTCATTATCTTCTTGGAAAATTGTTCTTTGTGCGATCAACTAATTAATTTACGTACACATTAATAGATAAGCGCTCAAAAAAAGTATCTAGGTCTATAATTAAATTAAGTTAAATTATTACTTAAATAAAAATAAACGGAGCTATTAATTACATAGCTCCGGAAGCGCTATACAACCATGGATGATTATTGTGGTTGGAGGAATAGTGAATCTGATCAATGAAACTTCGACGCGACAGAAAAGCAGCGTAGCGAGTATCAGGATTCATCCGGAGTTCGATCTTCAGAACTTGTACAATGACGTTGCCATTTTGCAAGTACGAAAGACTTTACGAATTTACTATTATTTATTTTTCGCATTTTCCACACTGACATTTTAGAATTAACGTAATTCACGTCTGATTCTCGTAGCTATCGGAATCTTTTACGTTCACTCCGGAACTGCATAGTGTGCCCTTGACAGGGAACCCGCCTGTACCCAATACTATCTGCCAGGTATCTGGTTGGGGTTATCCGTCATCCGTGAGTATCCTGCGAGATACTTTTAGGAAAATTCGCTTTAACTAGGAAATCCACTAAAACACGTTTTGCAATATTTCAGGATATCCCGATAGTGTCTCCTGATTTGATGTACGTAGATTTACCCATTCGAAGCGTAAAAGAATGTCGCGAGCTGCTCGAAAACGTAACGGATCTGCCATCGGGAATGTACTGCGCCGGTTATTTAGAGGGTGGAAAAGACGCTTGTCAAGTAACGTATTCCCTTAGCCATTTGCGTATACATTTTACATATATTACATATATTCATATATATAAAATTGATGCGATTTATAAATTGTCGATATCGCGATTTTTCGAATCTCTTCCAGGGTGATTCCGGCGGCGGAATGATCTGCAATGGTGCTCTGACCGGTACCGTTTCGGGTGGCGAAGGATGTGCTGAGCCACGGATGCCTGGGGTTTACGCGGACGTTTTTCACTATTTGGACTGGATATTAATGAGCTCGGATGTAGTGGCTATAGTGCAAAGTCATAACAATACTTGTAGAAATAACACTGGGAATTACGCCGCGCTTAATACGCCGACGATTACGATCGTGATTATCTCTTTCCTCTTTGGTGCTGTCATCAATTACACCTAGACCTTGAAGCCGAGATCCCCTGTTGACACGTTGATATGTATGTTTGAAGATATTATTAGACAAAGAGCAGTAATTTTTATGGATAATGTGATACTAGAGTTTCATGAGCTTTACCTTTTTATGCTACGCGGTCTGATACGACCTGATGAGTGAAAAAAATAAAATTGAAAAATAGTAAGAGCTTTTATGGTTTAAATAATTGCCTTTAAAGGTTTAAACGATTATCGTATCATTGATTATATCATGTCATAATTTATTCAACTGTAAATTATTCCTTTTTAACTAATTCGCGAGATCATTGATAGGAATACAATACATTTGCTCACATTCAATTTTAAATAATCACGCAGAGAGAGATGTCCAAGATTTTTTATTTTATAATTAAGACTTTATTTCAAATCTATTGTTAACTTAAACTATTTCAACTTTCATTTCTTATTGTTTTGGTTGCGCTACACAAAACACTAAAGCACGAGAGTCTCTTGAAGATATTTGAAACACAACACAGCTGACTTTTGCCATGATAAGATATGAAACTGACCACGAAATTGTCGATATCTATGACAATAAAATACGAAGAATAGAAATAATCTCGGTCGACTTTTGTAATCTTATCAGGAAAAATTGTCTTATTTCTTCTATAAATATACACGTATTTAAAAAAAATGAATTTTATCGCTCTAGTTCATAAAAAAAAACAAAAGATAAAGCTGAAAATTCTTGATTAATTTTACGCAATTCTTTAATACCATTGTCATTAAAATTTAATTAGTAACACTTTGATTATTTTATATCTATGTAAACCATTAGATATTATATTGAAAAATTTGCTTCCTTAAGTTATCAGTTAGTCACAATGCAGCAAAAATATTAAATGTAGCGTGCCGAGAATTTGTTGCTGATAACATTATTAATGATCTCTGGTGTAATTAGCGAGTTCACTACCGGGATTTTCTCCGGTTCAGTTTTTTGTATATATATACATACAGGTATATGTATATATGTAAGATGTATAAGCAATAAATCTTTTCAATTATGAATTTTTTTTACTTCTCGCCTTACGCGACATACGAACGCTGTAAGTGATATATTTATTCATTTATCATCCTTTACAGAATATATATACATTCAATTAGGTATGAAAGGATTAATATGGGATGATTTTTCGTTGCCTTCCGCGCGAAGAGATACGAAGGGAGAGAGGAGGAGCAGAGGAGAACCCGGAGAAAGGGTAAAGAGACAGACGACGTATCCACTTTGATCTCAAACGGAAAGCAGCGCCGGCAGACGTGCAAAAAGCTCATATCCCACTTAATACACGGCGGATGATACCTCGGGAAATGTATTAGCGGATTGCTCGCTGCCAAGATGGGAAAACGTCCACGGTATATTCGCGAATCGCGCGAACTCCTTTGCCACGTCTGCTGGTTTCGCTGCCACCGGTATTAAATTCTCTGCGAGCGAGATCGGTGCCTTCAAAGAAATGCATGGGGACTCTCTCGGCGGCTCTCTTAGATTGGATATAAATTTCGTGCGCTAATATTTGCTGCGTACGCGTACGGAGCGGGGAGAAGGTGCGGGAAAGGGCGGGGAGGGATTATGGAAATTGAATTGCCCTCGTCTAGTTGAAAGGAAACGTCGATGTATAATTATTCGACGAAATTGAATTATTTTATTTTTTTTTTCAAAGGTCGTTGGAATTAAATATCAAAATTTGTCCTCGTGAGAAAACTTACGTTAAGAGTAACTTATTGTACTGCATGAGTTTTTAAACGCTGCTGTCTGCAGAAAATTCTCTCTCTGTGACAGAGATTATTTGAAAGTGCACGATAAAATATGCAATATTCTAAACGCGGTGACTAACAGAGATAAAAAAATAGAAAAGTTCAAGTTAGAATTGCATCTTGTTTAATTGCAAATGCATTCCGTGTGCAAAATAGCGTATCTTGTTATCTGAAATGTTCTCGTATAACGGGATTCTCGATCGCATTTTTAATCGGCGCACGATACTGACCGTATTCTTATGACGAAAGTTCGATTCTTCTTCTGGCTCGCGCGATCGTAATCCTCCTGAACAGAAGGCTTCCGTTTCCGAAAGTTAATCCCGCGCGGAAACCCGAGACGCTCTCCTCGCAGGGATTTCAGAGTTGCGTAGGTAGGCTCGCGATCGATGTGACCGTGAAGCGATCGTGGGTGTGCCGAGGAGAGATGGGCGAAGAGAAGAGGAAAGCAAAGTATAAAATCAGGAGACGGATGAGTTGCAAAAGTGGGGGAGCGAAGGGGGATAACGGGGGAAGGCGGCGAGGAGAGGGATAGAAGCCGTGGGTGAAAACTGCCGCGCGTTTCACCTGATAAACGTAACTTCTGATACGTGCGCCCCTCCGGCTTCGGTTTTTATTTTAAGCTAAGGAGGGACGTTTTTCACGGCCTTTCCGATGCGGCTTTCAGCCCCGGTTGCTCCCTCGACGGCGAATGGGAAGAGGGGAGCGGGCATGTGTTTGCGCGTCGACAGGGTCCATTTCGCGACCTCAGTAATTCTGGGATCGAATAAGAATTCATTAGAGGAAATACAGGGTCCAAACTCGCACAGGGAGCCCCGCGCGGAGAGATTTTTCGTCTCTCTTTCTCTCTCTCTCTCCTTCTCCCTTTACCATCGCAGGGGTTTTAAATAAATTAAAAGTTTGCTTTTTCTACAGGG